TGATCAAATAAGATAAGTAAATGAAGCACTCTGAAAACTGTGTTATGCAAGCAGTATCATCACAATACAAGTGATAATGTTATTTAATTTGGCTGTTGAACTGAGAGATACAGATCAAGGATGCTGTGAAGTTCCATTTAGGAAAAGGACAGTAACCGATGGACACCTGATCTTTTCTACAGACCTGGGCTCAGCTGACTTGCTTTCAAAAAATATGGAAGGTTCTGAAGGCTCTGTGCTCAACCTTTGAAAACAAGCTGCCACACCAAAGAAAGAGGTAAGAACTATAAAGAACCTCAAGGAGACAGAAGCCAGGCAATAAGGGTTGAGAGGCTAAATTGTAGCCAGGGAAATGTGACCACTTCACTTCTTAATTTAGAAGTCTAAATCCTCTGTGGAACTTTGTCCAGCTAGATGGAAATAACCCTGACATGATGGGAAAAGTCCATGGTTTTCATCTACCTGTCCAGAGAAAATTCAACCTGACAATCTGAAATGGCACATATCCAGAAACAAAATAAATTAAAAGCTTTGGCTACTGACTTAGTGAAGTCCGTATAACATGACTCGGGCTGTGCTTAGGGCTGCTTCAGGTTCAGCCTGAAAGGAAGAACTGGAGTCAACGTTGTGTAATTACTTTTCTGCCCTCAATATAAATGCTATGCATATTAGCCCCTTGGGCCCTCCAAAGACTCAATCATTTTTTTTTTTCCCCCTCTCCATGCTTCTCAGGCTTACAACGACACAATTCCATGGGGTTTGTCACTATGTTCTATATAATTATGCAAAGCATATTCTAATCTTACTGAAGTGTAAAATGAAATCTTGGGACTATAACACATTTTTAAGTAAGTTCATTTCCATCTTTCACTCTGGTTCCCCTACACTGTGCCATAGCCCAGAAACCCATGTGACTAATTTCTTTCTTTCTTTTAATTTTTTAAAGTAGGCTCCACGCCCAAAGTGGGGCTTGAACTCATGACCCTGAGATGAAGAGTCGCATGCTCTACTGACAGAGCCAGCAAGGCACCCCCATATCTTCTTCATCATATCATACCTACAGCCTGAATACTGAGTCATATTATGGTGGCAACCAGGCACAAGAGCTCTATTAATTTTTCCTTCTGAGAAAAGTTCACGCTACACATCTTCAGCTGATGTACAAAATCATGAATAATTAAAATAGCCCATTTGATTTAAGTCTGATCTATTTACATATCCTCCATTCTCTGCACCTATAGAAGTAACTACCAATTTGAGACTTAATTTTTCTTTGAAAAGGAAACATTATTCTTTAATGTCAAATATTAAAAAAGATAACCATCAGCAATAAAAATCGACTAGTTTTTTATTAATGAACAAAATTATTGGTTGTGTCCAATATTCCTGTGTTTCCCTTGTTCAACTAAGAAAGCTGCCTGCTTTTCAGCAAAGGGTCTCTGTTCACATTTAGCTTTTTCTCAGCCAAACTGGACAACCTCCAGTAGAACTGCTGATATTGAGACTTGGTTGGGCAAAGGTTTCCAGCTCAGAGAAGTGGTACACTCTTAAGGGTGTGGAAGAACTTTTTCTGGAAATACCCTGGCTTCCAACCAATCAATCCTCTCTTCTTGCTGCAGATTTTCTTTAAACTATGCTTTAAACTTTTCTTCTCCATACCAGCTGGACACCTTTTTAAATAAACATCTCTGTGCAGTGCACTGCAGAGCTGAGCATTCTTCCAAAGGGAGGGGAAAAATCCTCCTGCCTCCCTTCACACAATCTGCTTGCACTCCAGGCATGGCATCTATGCAGAAGATGAAATGACTTTGCAGAAAACTAACACCACCGCTTGCAGCTTGGATAAGACCTCTTTTTCCGTGTCAATTGCTAGGAAAGCCAGCAGAGTACAGACTCACTGGAGAAGAGATAGGGGTATGGATACAGGATATGGTGGTGCAAACAAAGGGAGGAAGCCATTGATGAAGAAGTGTTCATGCACTCGTTTTGTTGGATAAGAGTTAAATTTCAGAATTCTCCAGTTTGAAAATTTTTCCCAAATAAGAAAAATATTCACAATGGAAAGAACATGTCCATTCTCTAGAAAACAGAATTATATCTGAAGCTGAGTAGGATTTCCCTTTTTCAAAAATATATAGACACATATTAAAAAAGTAAAAAAGAGGGGTGCCTGGGTGGTTCAGTTGGTTAAGCGTCTGCCTTCGGCTCAGATCATGATCCCAGGGTCCTGGGATCGAGCCCCATGTCAGACTCCCTGCTCAGCGGGGAGTCTGCTTCTCCCTCTGACCCTTCCCCTCTCATGCTCTGTCTCTCTCTCAAATAAATTAAAAAAAAAACCTTTAAAAAAAAAAGATTTTATTTACTTATTTGACAGAGACACAGCGAGAGAGGGAACACAAGCAGGGGGAGGGGGAGAGGGAGACGCAGGCTTCCTGCGGAGCAGGGAGCCCGATGCGGGACTCGATCCCAGGACCCTGGGATCATGACCTGAGCCGAAGGCAGACGCTTAACCACTGAGCCACCCAGGCAGGCGCCCCATAAATAAAATCTTTAAAAAAAAAAAAAGTAAAAAAGACTGGAATATTATATAACATAAGATATCAGTGCTTATCTCTTTTGTTGACGATTAAATGTTATTGTCTTTTGAAACTGTCTAAGCTTTCTACAATGAACATAAATTATTTTTGTAATAAATAAAAAACCCAAGACAGAAGAATATGTCAGTAATCGCGCTAAGTGAAATAAGTCAGAGAAAGAAAAATACCATATGATTTCACTTATACGTGAAATATAAGAAATCAACAAATGAAACTGGACTCTATATACAGAGAACACATTGGTGGCTGCCAGAGGAAAACTGGGGGGGGGGGATGGGTGGGTAAACAGATAAAGGGGATTAAGAGTTACCAACTTCCAGTCATAAAATTAATAAATTACAGAGATGGAAATGTACGGGATAGGGAATATAGTCAATAATATTGTAATAATGTTGCATGGTGACCGATGGTGACTACCCCTACTGTGGTGAGCACTGAGTAATGTATAAAATTGTTGAATCGTTATGCTGCACACCTGAAACTAATATAGCGTTGTATGTTAATTATACTTCAATCAAAAAATAAATAGAAAGGAATGGACTTCGTGTAGCTCACTAAAAAAATTGTCTAAGCTTTCTGTAATGAACGTGAATTATTTTTGTAGTAAGTAAAAAAGCAAGACAGAAGAATATGCCAATAATCATGAATTAATAGGATGAATATCCTGGTACAAATACTCAAATGCATTTGTAGTTGATTAGAGACTCTAATCTGGGGAGAAGTGGATTGTTTTTTCTGCTAAGAATACCACTAAAACATATGATTTAGGAGGAAGGAAAGAGAAGGTAGTTCTTGAGGGGGGTGGCACCAGAGGTGGGTGGAAGTATGCCCCAAATTAAACAGGTTGAACACTCAGATATTAACTGTATTTCATATTCATCATGTCTACATCCTTTTTGGTATTAAAATACAAGCTAATGCAAAAGTGACTTCCGAGTTTACAGCTCTGGTCATTTTCTAACATGAGCTATTTTTGGCTACAGGCACTTGCCCTTCACAAAAATTAGTCATGTTACACAGAAGCAGTTGGGGGCAGGGTCCATTTGAATGAGTGACTCATAAGTTTTCCATAGATTACACAAAAATTCTTTCCAACAATACACCAGCAGGGAATACCTGAACACTTCTGGAGGTATACACAAAAGACGACGAAGCCAAGTGCTTCACAAATGGAAAGGAAAGGTCAATGATAGTTTTGCAGTATGATCTACACCCAGAAATGGCAACACACATTGGTCAAGTTAAAGTAATGGAAAAAAAAGTTCCCTTTCCAGCTCACAGCTTTTCAAGAGTAATTTCATAGCTACACAGCACGATGAATCACTCCAAGCACACATACTCTGGACTGTCAAGAAGCTAATTCAGGGCACAGCCTTCAATGGTATAAAATCTGACTGCTTGGTGATATAAGCTCTTGAATATTCAGGGGTGAGATGATCTGATTTAGTCAGTTCCTGGGCATTTATTCCTCTTGTAGGAATTCCTCTGCTTCTAATCATTTCACAAATGTCCTCACCAGAGAAAGGAAGTGAAATTCAAACCAATTAATTTATTTCCTTGTTAGCATTTTTGGTCAAAGTGTGTGGGAAGTGGAAACAAAATGAAGCTTTGACATTTCCCACTGATTCTAATTATCCTTTTTAACCTTATTCCCATTGCCATGTACAGATGGAAACTAAAACTCTTTAATATTTGGAAGGAAAATGGATCTTAGGATTTTAGAAGCTTTCTAAAGATTAGAAAGGTGTCCTTGGGCTAATTTCAGGTCACTGAATGTTCAAAAACCATGAAGAACAATTTTAAGTCACTGTAATTTTAGCAAACACAAAAATATTTGGGGGACTCAAAATGTAGCTATAAAATTCCAAATGTTTAAAAGTCCAATAGTCTCTCAGTCCTAAGTAGTCCCCACGTGCTCTGCTCAGATATATCTACCTTAGGCAAATTTGGCAAATCTGAAAGAGTGACCTCAAAGTATCATTCTATTTGTATACACTATAAAGCTATTGTGGACTGGTCTGTTTTTGACTTTTGACTATCATAAAGAACAGCTGAGATATTTAACAATCTCTGGGGGGAAAAAGGGCCTGATTTGTAGCATTTGCCCACTTCCTTGGTGTAAATTTTTGCACCAGTCAATTTCAATCTACCAGCTTGATGTCACTGAATGAGGAATTGGGAAGAGATGAGCAGAAGCACACCATTATCTAACATTTCCACCATATAATAGATGTAAATAACCTAAGAGCACAGATAACAGTAAAAAACTAGGAAGTGATGAGGTTTGAGTATTTACTACCTTTGTTTTTAAGTTACATTTTATTTAAATATACTAACAGTTTCTCCTCCAGAGCTGGTATGGACTAGATTCAGCACATCACTTAGAGTGGCTCTGAGACTTACCAAGAATACATGCTCAAATATCTGTGTAGGGCTATCCATTTGACCAAGAATCACTATCATTTCATTATCTATAAATTCCTTGAATTCTCGTAAGTTGCACACCATTTGCATTTCCAACTCAGTTCGTATCTGAAACAGAGAGGACATATTTTACTAGTCTCTGAAAAGTATCTCTGTGCTTTCAATCACTCACGATTTCTAACCTTATACCTACTGTTATCCCACACTCCTAGCCTTGGAACAGGGAGAACTCAAGGTCTCTTACCTCTTTGGATGTGATATTCTCCAAATCCTTCTGCATCATTATCTCCCTTAATTTGGTTTTAATTAATCTTTCTGTTCGCTCACGTTCAGTTGGTCTGAGAAGAGAGAAATGGTGATTTTTCTTAGGCAGGAATTTGACTAGGTTAATGAATGTGCCATTTGTTTATGTTTTCAAATTGGCAGACCTTCCCTCTATTACCCTCGAACATTTATATTCTGGGGGCATGGCAAAAAAAAAAGTATTTAAAAAAGTTTCTTTTCACAATGCATAGAATGTAAACGTGTAGAAATTATTACTTGAAGAGGTTGTACATGTCTGAAAGTCCTTAAATATATCCACATACATCTATAGGAATAAAGACAATAAGCTATACTGTGTATACTACTTTAATGCAGAATCATAGCCATGTTTCATCAAGTACCCCTGACTACCATTTGCTGAGCTAGAATACCAAGCTGGGTAGAACAGTGGTGTGACCCACTACAGAACTAGGTCTTCTGTAGCTTAAAATGCCACCTAATGCTGACCATTCATTGCTATCATTCTAGAAAACAGGAAAGATGAAAGAATGATTTCTGCCTTCTTCGTTGAGGCAAATTCACTCCAAAGAGGGTTTTCAAGGATTAACTACCAAGAGTACTTTCATCCAAAATGTGTTTCTTTTCATAAAAGCTCTCACAACATCTCTGTGAAATTGTTATCCCCATTTTACAGATACAGGAAATAAACAGCTGAAAGGTTAAATGACATGCCAAAGATCACATACACTGGCAGGAGAACCAGCACTCTCAGCCCAGCCTAACACTCTACCTGAAGAATTATGTTGCTTCCTTAATCTTCTGACTCTTAAAATAAAATTACCCTTGGAACTTTAATAGGAAATTAAACTAGGAAGCTGACTCTCCAATTACTAGAAAGGTATTGGTTCAATGTTAACTGGATGCTTCTCTCTAAAAGCATTATTTCATATTATGCAGAATTTGCATGAGGCTGACAAAGGGCACTTTGTCTCATCTTTCCCTCTTACCTACTCAAAAAAGGTATCTGCTCTGTACCTCCTTATTTGGAGATGGAACTGGACTAAGTCATCAGGCATCCTGCCTGCCCTTGCTGCCTACGGCCTTATCACTGGCTGCAAAAATAGCTTCAGTAATCTCCAAAAATGGCTGCTCTGACCTCACAACCTTGGGGCTCCCCACCACTTGGGCTCGTAGTTTCTCATGAACCCTGCAGAATACAGATAATGCCTGTGCCTTTTCCCTATCCGCCAAGGCATCCCTGTCTTGACCAGGATTAAAATTCTTAATCATGCTCCTCACCATTTTTCCTAGACTAGCTAATGGTAGAAAGTTATACATTTCAGTCTTCCATTAAAATTATTGATAAAAACAAATTTTACCATCTATGTGCATGAGTTAGATTCCCTAGTTAGCAATCTTTCTCCTAATCCTTTATAATACTTCTTTGAGGCAGAGTGGTTTGGGAGCAGACACACCTGGGTTTTAATCCCAGCCCTGCTACTTCCCAGTGGTACAACCTTGAACAAATTCCTTCCCTTCTCTGAGCGGGTTTCCTTTTCTATAAAATGAGGATAATAGTCATACTGCCTCATGAGGGTCTTAGGAGGATTAAATGAGGTACCATGTATGAAGTGCTTGGCATAATACTTGACGTACACTAGAGGCACTATGCACATATATCCCTTCCTCCCCTTCCTTGTATTTCAAAATATAAACTTTATTTGCAGTAGAGCACCCAAATCCATTTTGGCACACATTTTCCCTGTATGCTCAGCATTCTTTTTTAGGCTTTTCTAGTCAGTTTAGGGAGGAGGAGGGAATGGAAAAAAATTACAACACAAATACACTTTCTTGCTTGATTTCACTAGAGAAAAATTTGGAAAATACATAAAAACACGAAGAAAAATAAAACCACTGAAAATCCCTGCATCAGAGATAATCATTATCAATATTATGACCTACAGCTTTTCAGTCTCTCTTTCTGTGACAGACATTTGGTTAGTAAATATATCTTAAAATTGGGGTTATATGGTACATACTAAGAGCTAACATTTAATGAGCTTCTACCATGTGCTTGGGGCTACACTTTATATTATTCTTTTTGCTTGGGGATAGAGACAGATTACGGCCAATTTCCTTTCCTTTTCTTTCTTTCTGATGTAATATCCAAATTTTCTCTAATAAAATCATGAGAAATGAAAAGAAGGGTTTTCTCTCTCTCATGTAAGTCTGGTTTAGAATGTCCATTTTTTTAAATTTTTTTTTTTTAAAGATTTTATTTATTTATTTGAGAGAGAGAATGAGATAGAGAGCATGAGAGGGGGGAGGGTCAGAGAGAGAAGCAGACT